TCAACCAGGTTTGCTAATCAAAAGGGGGGAGAGAGCGAAAATAAATAAATATATAAAAGAGGGAATGGTGGGTTTTGGGGTCCAACACAGCTCATATAACCACTGGGAGCCGAACCATTTACTATTCGGAAATTGGTAGGTCACGATAGCTATTATCCATGTATTTACATTGTAAATTCTTTTGCATAAAAACACCGATTATTTCCTTTTTTTTTAATAAATAAATAATTAGAATCAACCGAAACGTGTGTGGTGAAAACCATCTCTGGTAATTCTTTCCATCTAGTATTTTGAGCTTGGAAAGATTGGAAATCAGCTTGCTCAAAGGTGATGTCATATTTGCAGTATATGAATTCGTTTCTAAATTGTTGGTAATATTGACTGCAAAACCACACCGTTAGCACTGACTGTAAAATAAATAAATAATTTGAATCAATCGAAATCGTGATGTGGTAAAAATCACTGTATTAGAAACGAATTTGCCCCAATGTGTATAATCGCTCCAATAGGCAGATCGTCCCCCAAGGTTAACACGGTCACTCCAAATTTTGTACACCCAGAACCGGAGTAGAATGTTGGTTGTACTACTCCTCCGATCGCCGGAAAGACTCAGAAACTTAGAAAGCTTTGAGAGAGTTAAGAAATGTTTGAGTGAATTATGAATGAAGCCAAATGAGCTCTCTATTTATAGGATGCGTCTAAGGTAAAAACGTCCAAGAAAAATCAGAATTAAAATTCTGATTTAATTCCAGAAATTTAAACCTTTGTAACTCCTGATAAATCCAACCTATTTGTAATTCCAGAAATAAATTTATGTAACTTTTGTACTTTGGCACCCTAAAATTTCAGAAGAAATGTTAAAATGTTCCTTCACAATACATTTTTTTGTTCTTTGAAAATTCTTTATGAATTTTCTCATAAAAAATAAAATCTCATAGATTCTTGTCACGAGATGAGAAGGACGGACAGCGACGGCGGTAGTGTGTGAGAAGCTCTCTTTGTTCTTTATCATTTACCAAGGAAATAGAAAATAAAAGCCTTAAATATCTAATCCTGATACATTTACTCACTGAATTGAACATTACTAACAAAGAAAAGAATCCGAAAAGGGTTTTGTTGGTGTGCCAGTGATGCTCCCACCAGGTTGTAGGGCTGCTTGTCTTGTCCGAAATTTTGTTTTTCAGGTGATGCACCCATATTTTTTGGTACTCGAAATACTAAGTACAAGTAGTCTGGTCAGTGTCCCTGTTCCTTAAGTACCCACAAGTTTTCTCAAAAAAAAAAAAATTTGCCATAAGTTGGGTGCCAACATACAATTTGAATACCTGTATTTTTGGAATAAGGGTATCCAGTTTATACTCTCTTTTTTTAAATTATATTAATTTTATAAAATAAATAAAAAATAAAAAATTTAGAATTTTAAAATCCATAATACATAATTCACGCATATAATTTAAAATTTAAAATTACATAATTAAAAATAAAACTTATTAAACATAAAATTAAAAAATACAATTAAATTTAAAATATTCTAAAAGAAATAATTTGATAAATGATTAAGATTTTCAGGGTGAAATAATTCAAGAAATTAATATTTTAGAATGTTGTAGTAAAATAATTTAAGAAATTAAGAATTTAGAATGTTGTGGTGAATTAATTTGAGAATTAAGAATAAAAAATCTAATATAAAATAAAAATAATAAAATATATAAGAAATCGGGTACTGGTCGGAGAGTACCCGATTAAACATTATTTTATGATTTAGACCCAATCTTTTGCCAAAAATAAAGAATCGGATACCCAACCCAAAATTTAAATTTTTTTTATTATAAATCCTCGATAATTTTAGACTAAATTGACAGATCAACGACCCAAGACCGAACATTTTTAAACACCCTAGTTGAAGGTGAATCCCGTTTAGATGTTTGCATTTATGTGATGGATTTATGTTTAAAAAATATAACTTATACTAATAAATTAATTTAGAATAAAGAAAAATAATTTATGTTAAAGACAGGTTAATTCAACCAACGAGGTTGGTTCAAGTGCTTGATATCGTTTAAGTAATGTTCAAGCTCGAGTCCTTGTGTATGCATAAAATCTCCGCTGAGAGACTCCCCACCAAAGTCAGATGTGCAATCCGATCAAGACGAAATCTTGAAAAAGGGCAACCAAAAAAATGGTTAATTCAATTGATTTTGTTCTGAAATTTAGTAATCAAATTAATCTATTTTAGATGATTATATAAATAATCTAATCATAATAATTGATATAATCGAAATCGATAAAATCAAATGTCTATTTAAAGTGTTTTTCCTTGGCCTAAAAGTACAAGAAAGAAAATTAATTTACATATTTTTGTAAAAAAACATAAAATAAAATTAAACTATTTAGGTAGTTATTATTCTCATATGATATGTTTATTTTATGAAAATAATCAGGATATTTCATTTATCAAAAGATGTATCAACAAACGTCTTGTCAATTGCATATTGAACAAATACAGTCAAAACTATCGAAAATAAAATATAATAAGGATCACATAATGATAGCCTGATAAACAAAACCATTAAGAAGTGGAGTAACAATGTACATAAACTGAACACACCAACAACTTTGAGCATTAAAACATAGAGGAAAAAAACTTGAAAAAGAACTAAAATAGGCAACGGAAAAAATGATCTCTCCTTAAAAACAATCACATTCGGCACATATATGCGATAACTAACGGACCGTCTTGTACAAATGAACCGGATATAGAAAAAACAATCAACCATGTATTAAGTGGAAAAAAAATCGAGAAGAATACCAATAAAAATATTTGTATCGAGAGTCTAAAACACCTATAGTCATGATATACTTTACAAAAAAAAAATGGTCAAAATAAATTATTATTAAAAGTACAATAAAAAAGAACTAAAAATAATAAGGTGATGATCGGAAAAGACTATCACCGCTATCATGAAACAAAGAAATTTTAAAAACTGTTAATGTTAACCTTTGCTCTCAAAAGATATTTTTAAAATATGCATTTAATGTTAAAATTCTTGCAACCTCTACTTCTATTGTTACTTGTTTGGCACTACACACTTAAATTAATTAGATTAGCTTAAATTATTCTGACCAATAACATCAATAATAATAATAATAATAATAATAATGGTAAACTACATCATATATCACTGAATTTTAATCGTTTTTTAACTTTTAATTTTGTCAATTATAACACTGAATTTTAATTTTCGTTTCAATTATATCAATAGGCTGTTAAAACGTTAATAACCAGATCAAAACAATATTATTTTAGTGAGGTGTCTATGTCAATAGCCGTCAACTACGTCATCAACCATCAATCATGTTATCATTTCGTTAATGATTTAACGGTTTAGTGTTATAATTGAAACGAAAATTAAAGTTTAATACTATAATTGACAAAACTGCAAGTTCAGTAGTATAGACGATACAATGCCCAAAGTTCAGTAGATTATGATGTAGTTTACCCTGATAATTAAAATGTTTGGAAAATGGTAAAATTCTTGAAATCTCAGGCTTTGTTGCCCGAACTATTCCCCCCTAAGAGAACAAAATTCTAGAAATAGTAAATTTGCTTCTTTGTTTGAAATTGATTGAGAAAATAAGGTACATAATTGATTGGAAACGGAACTTGATTGTCAAAAAAACATTGTAACAATGATCAATTGTTTACCAGCAACTCGTTAATTTAGTGGGTAAGATGTTAGATTATATAATAAAATATCAAAGAGTTAAATAATGATATTATAAATAAATTAAATTAAAAATAGCATACGATAATAAATATTGTGTAATATTAAATTCAAATCAATAAGTTAACCAAAGGTAAACTGTACTAAAGTCCTTAAACTTTTAAGATATTTTCATTTTGGTCATCAAACTTTTTAAATTTACATTACAACTATTAAATTTTTAATTCGTTTTTATTACTGTCATTGCAATTAAAAAAATACTGACATGCAATATTAAAGCGTTCTACCCAAAAAAATTCATAATAAGACTCCATATTTATGATCACCATAAAAGGGTCAATATTTTTATGAACGAAACGATCGCCAGTTAATCACAATAATCGGAAGGATCCTTTTGGTCAGAATATTAGAAGATTAATCTAACGGTCAAATTTTTAAGTTCATATAGTAGTTAACATTGATAAATATTTTTTTTAGTTTTGATTAGTATTGAAGAAGATTAGAAGGTTAGCTAATGAGTTTGGACCGAAAGAAAGAAGATGAGAAGTTTGATGGTCCTTTATTACTAAAAAGATCATCAAGCGGTCTCATAAACAACGATGAAATGACGTAATAATCTAAAAAAATTAAAAGTTATTTTTTTAATCTATCGTTGTTAATCATCATATCAACTCGAAACCAAAATTTGTTAATCTTTTGGTTAAATAAAGCTGTTTTAATGTTAGGATTAATCGATAACCACCCCATTCATCATAAATTTAAGCCTATGTAAGAGCTACAAATTTTTTTAAAAAAAATATTTTTTAGTAAAAGGACTTAACATGCCACATCGATATTTTTAACAACACCTAACAATAGCAACTACAATAAAATTGAATTAAAAATCTAATGACTATAATATAAGTTTTAAAAGTTTGGTAATCAATATAAAAATATCTTAAAAACTCAATGACTACTCATGTACAATAAGAGTGAATTAAAAATTTAATAATAATATGTAAGTTTTGAAAACTCGATGGTCAAAATGGAAACAATAATATCCTAAAATCTCAATGACTACTGGTGTAATTTACTCATTAATAAATACAAAACCAAATAGTACCTTCAGGTCTCTACTCCCTACCGTCTACAGACATTAAGGTAAAACGATTCTGAACCGTCAAATTATAATTTCACTTAAATCAAGGGTCAAGATCAATTATAAACAGTATCCGCACTATCCCTCTCTATATATTTCCATTCACTTCGCTCATCACTCTGTCCAACCCACGTTAACCCGAAAAGAAGAAGAAGAGACCCTCTAACCTTGAAAGTGCAAGTTAAACAAACAAACCAATTTTCTTTATAACCTATGATAATGGCGTCGGCGAGTACTTGGATGTTTTTGCTGAAGGTACTCCTCATTTCTACTGGTATATTGGGCATAGCTTTGGGACTTAAAGTATCTGTTCCATTGGTTATGGAATTCTTTGTTTCTCAAGCTCCGTTATGGTGGAGTACGATCCGTTCTTGGCTCAAGCCTCCGTTCCTTTACTTCGTCATCAATGGAATCATCATCACAATTGCAGCATCGTCACGGTTTAACCAAATCAACGCCGAGAAAGATCAGACGGAGCAAATACAGCTGCGACCGAAGATCTCGGTGGATCGATGGCAAGCGGAGGAGTACGATACAAAGAGCGGCTGGGAATCCGATGTAGTAGAGCCCAGTGATTTATTGTACGATCAAAATTATAAAGGAAAAGAGGTGGAAACGACGATTCTTGGGGATGAGAGCAATGTGGCGGTTGAAGATGACAAAAGTGGAGATAGCGAGTTGGTTATCTCCAAGTCGGAGTGGATCCCTCCAACTAGAACGGATTCTTCGGAGATTCCATTGGATGCTCTGTTTCCACCGGAGAAACCAGCGCTTTCTTCTAGGTTCGGTCACCGGAAACCTGTTAAAACCAACCCTGAAGGTATATTCAGCATTTCCCTCTCGAATCTCTTTAACGGTTATTTTGTTTATATCTAAATTACCGAAATTCAAAAAAAAAATTTAAAAAGAAGCTCAGAAAACCACTTCGACGGCGTTTCAGTGTTCCGTGTTCCGCAAAGGCGTCTACCTGACGCACCGTTGTAAAAAGTCCAAAATAGTCCTTTTTTAATGTGAGTATACAATAAAAGAAAAGTAAAACATCTGAACTACTTAATTAAGGAGATTAATGCTCCTGTGCGGATGCCTAATTCAGGTGGGGGGGCGTTGAGAGTGGCAAAGCCAAAACTGCATGAGACGCTGGAGAACACGTGGAAGATGATCATGGAAAAGAAAGCAATGCCGCTGTCGGGACACTTGAAGAAGTCGGACACTTGGGAGAATCACGACCGTGATATCAACGGGGAGGCATCGACCGCCTCACCTCTGATGAAAAAATCAGAAACGTTCAAGGACAGGACCAATTATCAGCTGCCACCAGTACAAGCAAGCCCTTCCCCGGCTTCCGGAAAGGCGAGGAAAGAGCCATCGCTGAGTCAAGAGGAGTTGAATCGTCGAGTGGAAGCCTTTATTCACAAGTTTAACAACGAAATGAGGTTACAGAAACAAGAGTCGATTAATCAGTATATGCAGATGGTTAATGGTGGGAATTAATCATAACTATGCTTAGATTAGTTTATGGAAATATGTTTGCTCCAATGAGTTTTAGAAGGTTGGAGACTTTATCTTAAAGGTAGGTTACTAGGAATGAATAGTGTCTTGTAAACGAAGGCAAGTTTCAATGAATGACTCTGGCTTTACTAAATCCTCATGCTCACACTTCAATTTATGTGATTACTACTCTTAAATTGAAGCTTGGTGATAAAGACGTAGTCTAAATCCAGTAATTATTGTATGGGATTCCTTTCACTTTCTATAATAAAGGAGAGCTACCATTTAATGCATTATTTATGTTAGTTATTAATTTTTTTTTTCAGTGGCCCGAAATCCGTTAAAAGAAATGAAGTAAATGTCAAAAATAGCATAGAAAACACTCACGATGTTTTTAGTTTATTTTTTTAAAAAAAGAAAGTATTTATTTAACTGTATATCTTTTCAAGTTATTTTGTGCCACGTAAAGAGAAAAAAACCATAGATGTAAGGTTGGGTTAAGTCTTTGTCTTCTTGTCAACCTATAATTAGAGTAAGGGCTGGGTCCTTGAGTAGCAAGGGTTGGATTTATTGGGATCCATAACACATGTGCTCTGGTCGGCTTTCTTCCTCTAAATTGAAAAGAAAAATAGATTAGGGTTTGGTTTGATTATAAACCAATTGATTTTATGTTGGACTCTTTTCGTAACTTGGATGAAATGGTGAGACGAGAGAACGATCAAAATTTTGTTTCCATATGCTTAGTTGCATGTTTAACCACAGATAATGATGTGATAATATTAGGAAACTGAGTGAAAGTAGCCTACGGAATTAGGGTACAATCATTTGAGTCATGAAACACTAGCAATCATAATAGCATCTAGCCACTAACTCATCTTTAAGGGTCAAGCTTTACGGCAAAAGAAGCGTATTACTGTAACTTGAAGCTTGATACGACTAGTACACCACTATAGTGACAAATTGATACACATATAGCGACAGGTCCCATTCAAGCTCAAAGAAAAAGAAAAACTGACTTTAATCCACTTCGTGACTTGCGGAGTTATTTGATTGATGGTCTGTTGAGGTGAAAAATGGTAATGTCAGCTTCATCTGGTAATCATCAATTCTTCCAATTCACCTCCTTCCAGTACTTGACCACCTTACGGTGTGGATGTCTGATGAGCGAAATTTATTTGTTCAATCATTTTTATTCCCTTTTAACATATTTTTGTGTGTGTGTGTGTGGGGGGGGGGGGATAAGAAATCCAAAGCTTGAAATGGACTTGATTTTGATCCAAATATAGAAAACCCTAAAGAACACGCACATAAAATTCCAGAGTTAGTTCCACTGATTTATCAAAGATAACTTGGTAGGAGTTGAATATGTAGAGGTATTACTGAGCTTGCTTCTGCCTTTTGATTCGCTCAAGTGCACCCAGTAGTCCCTTCCCACCCTTGTCTTTGGCAGCAGAGGCATCGTCTTTACCATCATTGTCATTGCCATCTTCCCTCTTTCTAACACCTCCAAACACAGCAGATGGGACATCTTTCTGAGCAATTTCAACTCTTTCTTCGTCTGAATCACTTTCCTCCGGCAAATCGATATCTTCAATATTTGCTGTTGTTTTCATCCCACCATCCGCCTGTGACTCAACTCCAGCACTCACAAACCCTACTTTCCTAGAGTTGTCTTTGGCAACAGTATTATCAGCAGCAGGTAATAAATGCCTCTCAAGAGCAGCCATTTCATCCTCGGACACACCCGCCTCTTTCAATTTGTCTATAGCTTCATCAATGTTATGATCCTTCTGCATCAGACACTCGGGAAGAATGAAGTGTGTCTGGAAGAACAAAAACAGTGAGAATTACAATCTGGAGGGAAAAAAGTTGCAAAGATTATACATTAAAAAGTATAAAAGCATATATATATATTAATACATGCAACTGATAGGTTGATGCATGTTAACTCAGAAACATCTATCAATTTACGTAACATTGAGGCCACCCGCAATTCCATAGGAACAAATAGCATCTTTCAAGGTAGCCAGAAGAAGTAGAATTAAATCTAATCCTTAGTTGGTAGCTGATCTATGTAGACCCTATGCAAAATAATAAATACTAATGCGGATTTTGAGTTTACAAGGGACATATCTGATGAAAATAGAAAAATAGTCCCGAGTTGTGTGCAAGGAAAATAAAAAAAACAAGAAGCTTACCTGGCTATAACTTGCAGAGACACTCCGTTTAATCCGCAACATTTCTCTGAATGTATCTTCATTTCCATGTTGCACCTCAAACTCCCTCCATTTATCCCAAAAATCTGCATCAGAGCGTGGATCAGCAAACTGGGATGCAAATACATATATTCCACGGGCACGATCAATTTCTCCTAAGCTCTTTTCCAACTCTGCATATCGCAAACACATTGTCTTCACATCTTTATCCGGAAGACCAGACTCTATTGCCTGCTCATAAATTTCTCTCGTTTTTGGAACACCAAAGATCTCAGCTGCACGGGCAATGTAAATCTCATACATGCCAAGTTTCTCATGGTTTGGAACAACTTTAGTTGCTTGATCATAGACCTTCATAGCTCGCTTTGCTAGCCCAAAATCCTCCTCCAGCTTGGCATACTGAAGATAAAGGGGTTTTACTGCATCAGAAGGTGCCTGGAAAAATAAAGGAAAATTGATGTCGAAATGATTATCATAAAACGTTGGTAATTCAGCATCATTCAAGTCCAATATAAAGTTCAGGTAGAAAAACATAGGAGTGGGAAAAAATAAAGCCGGTCATAGACTTTATAAAGGAGGTCACCAAAGTCCAAGCAGCCAAATTCATGGTTCCATGTAATCGTATCACTGCACAGCTTCAAAACCTATGCTACTATCAGCATAGCAATCACCTAACAATTATTATTTCTTGCAGTACAAGGCACACCGAGTAATGCCATCAAACTAGTATAAAAGTTCTTTTAGAGGATTTTGGCAAAAATCTCTGTCTAGTGACCAAGCAGAAATTTTGAAATCAACCACGAACAATTGAATCATTTTAGCATTTAATCTTGGCTACAGAATCTTTAAATGACTACAATGTAATACGTGACCTTAAACCTACTTCGATTACATAAAATGTAAATCAAGCCACGCTCATAATACTTCAGCAACAATAATGTCTGCTTAAAGGTCTGAAAGGATAATAACATGCATACCGTTTCAACGGCATGCTCAAACAGTTCCCTTGCTCGTTCCAGTTTTGACTTCCCATATCTCTTTACAAACTTCGACAAATAAGTGACCCATATATCCTTCACGTGCGGATACTTGAATATCTTGACACCTCTTTCATATACTTTGAAAGCATCTTCAAAATATTTGTTTTCCTGCAACAATTTAGAATGCTTGTTAGTCTACAGAACATTTTGGGGGTGTTTGGTATGGATGGTCATCTCAAAATCCAAGGTGATCTGTTCAGATATCTTGTACTCAGTGCCTTTTTCTCCTTTTGATATCTAACATTGTGGTCATTATCACTGGAGATTTATAATGTTCTAACAAACATGATATTATATGCTGCACAAGTATTGAAATACTTTTACCTCCAATAAAAATGCATAGTTTATAATAATTTGTGGAGTAGCAATTCTTAAATCCAGTATTCTCTCATAAACTGCTCGAGTTGACTCCAGAGTACCCAAACTTTCTTCCAAGTCTACATAGAACGTCCACAGCCTCAAGGATTTATGTAGCTTCATCTGAACAGGTTCATTTCCGTCAGCAGCCACTGCAAACGACAAAATAGAAAAAAGAAGCAAATATATAAGGTATTATAGATGATACTATTCTCATTTAAAAAAGAAAAGAAAGAGGTTTTAAGATGAGACGAAAAAGGAAAGGATATGAAGCAATGCAAAGGAATGCAATAATGTAACAATCAAATCAGAGGCAACTGTTTCAAGAAATATAGACAGGGATTACCTCTTCGTTTGACCTCAACAGAAGGCTCAGCTGTGGCACGTCTCATCAGCTCCAGTGCCCCTTTGAAATTTTTATGCCTCAGTTCCATCTCCGCCCACTCAGCCCATACACTTGCCAGGTGATCAACAGTCTTGTAATTTACTTGAACAGCTTTATCAAAAATGACACGAGCATTTGCCAGATCTTTATAAGTCTCATATAGCTTTGCAAAAGCCACCCACAAAGTATGGGGCTTTCCGACAGCTTTCATTGGGTCAATCGTCCTAACCGCCTCTGTGTATGTCAATATTTGCTTGGTGGGATTTCCCTCAAATAGCTTGACCCTACGATGCCATTGCTCCACATTATGTGGATTCTGGCGCAAAAGGACACTATTAGCCAGTTCGGGCCTTCTATTCATTAAATGCTCTAACCGAGCCAACCTCAAATCAACATCATTATCATCATGTAACCAAAACCCCTTAAATATCTTCTTCTCAAACTTTGATTTTGATTTGCATAAAGCAATGTCCAAACGGATGTCCTCTTCATCCTCTTCAACATCATCTTCTTCCTCATCACTCAAATCCATGTTCTCCATTTTAAGAGCAACCATACTCTCTTCAAATTGTGAATAAGCATCAAATATGACACTGAAATCCCTCACGGTAACCACAGTCGTCATTCCCTCCTCAAAAATATCCCTTGCCTTCTCGAACAGATTTCTTCTGATGTAATAATCAGCAAGTGAAGTCCAAAGTCTCCCAACTTCATCTGTAAATTTTCTAATTCCACCTCTGATTATTGCATCCACGTTGAGCCCCGAAACATCTGTTGCGTGAGTTGTGAGCAAGTCACACAACTCTAACCACAACCTATGCTTGGTTTTACGCTTTATCGAATAAAACTGATCATCATTCAAAACAGATGCTAACCTCTCCGCTGCTTCTTGCCACAGACTTGAATTCACCAAAAACTCAATAAAATCCTCAATATGACTAGGATCATACTTCAAATATCTCCTATAAACCCTAAGCGATGTCTCAATGGGGATACCCCTTTGACTAACGAAAACTAAGTAAGGTTCCCAAATTCTATCATGTTGAGTCACAGGCAATGCACAAAGCGCTCGATCA